TTGGCGAGTGTCAAGGGCAATATCACGTTGCTGTGAGGAGATACGTCGAATTATACCCAAACCGAGCAAAACATCCAAGACCTAGTGTTATACTTGAAGCGGCTCAAAGATTATATGAAATCGTAAGCGTGTTATCAAAAAGAAAGGACACTGGCAGACATCGTGTTGCAAGAAATTTACGAAACGTGGAAATAATCTTTCGTGCTATTGAGCAAGAACCTGAAATTAGTATTCGGGACATTGCTCGAGAGCACGAATTATCTTATTCCACCGTCCAAAGAATATTCAAGAATATTCAAAGAAAAAAAATTACATGCCTATTATTATACTCGCGTGCAACATTTGCGACAAGAAGACTATCCTCGGAGAAAGAGATTCTGCGAGAATTTCCTAAGAAGAGTACACGAAGATCGAGAATTTCCTTCTCGTGTAATATTCAGTGATGAATCGCTGTTCACACGAGAAGAAATTTTAAATTCGCATAATATGCATATGTGGGACGACGAGAATCCTCGAGCGATACGACTCAGAAATTATCAAATTCATTGAAAACTAAACGTCTGGGCTGGGATTATGGGTACAAAAATATTGGGTCCAGTTATTCTTCCAGAAAGATTAAATAGCGCATCATATTTGGAATTTTTATCAGAAAATCTGCCGGACTTTTTGGAAGAGATGTCATTATTAAACAGAAATAAAATTATATTTCAACAGGACGGTGCTGGTCCACATAACGCCAGAATAGTCACAGACTTTTTAAATCAGCAATTTCCTGGTCGTTGGATGGGCCGGTATGGACCGATACGTTGGCCTGCAAGATCCCCAGACCTCAATCCATTAGATTTTTTCTTTTGGGGATACTGCAAGAAAATCATTTACATTACAGCTTCCCGAGAATATCGAAGAACTAAATAACAAACTTCACCATGCCATTTGGTCAATCGACAACGAAGTTATGGAGAAAACCCAAGAAAATTTACTGAAACGCATGAGAGCTTGCATCAGAATGGACGGCGGACATTTCGAACATTTATTATGAAAAGAAAAGAAGTCTTCTATAATAATTTATCTGCCCTTTTCAGGGCAATCAAATATTTTATTTCGAGGGACATTCTCTTCGAGTTCACAAATTATTAAAAAAAAAATCAAATTATTAACAAAAAATCAAATCAATTATGTTCGACAGGTGGATATTACCTGCCGATATTATCTATCGAACTTATCTATTATTACTTGGTATTACGAAGCGTTCGAAGCGTTTCACTATCGGTCATTAACGCGCTGCATCATGATAATAAGCTGACTTATCGATCTGATTTACATTATATTAGATCGATAAGTTAGATCGTTATTATCTTTGCAAGGACGTACTCCTGAATTAATTCTGAGACGATTTTTCCTCTACGAAAATTATATATATATATATTGTAAGAATTAGACGACCGTAAGCAGTCATGAAA